GACAATGTGTTTTTCTGGCTTTTTTTTCTCATTTTGTCTCTCATAGTTGAGGCATACCTATGATGAAAATTACAGGCCTCTCTCATCTTTGGGAGAACTTGCACAATTGGTGGCTGACTAAATACTTTTTTGCCCCACTGTATAAGAGAGACTAAACTAATGACAACTGGTACAACACCAGCCTTAGAACTGACAATAAAGATACTGAAGTGATGGACAGTTTCTGCCTTTTAGGGTCAACCATCAACAGTAAAGGAATAAGTAGTCAAGAAATACACTGTTTCCAGCAAGCACATACATGTTCACTAGGAAAACAGGATGCCTGGTCTGAATTAGCGAGCTTTGTTTTATGTTTCCAGATAGTTGTCACTTACTGACTGCTTTGTTTAGCAACTGTTTGAAGTTACAAAGGTTGGGGGGGAAAAACAGCTTTGTAACCAATTCTTGCATGTACAGCCATTGCAGTATCCCCACGGTCACGTGATTGCTATTATGAGCCTTGCAACTGGCTTCCAAAAAGCAGAATTAATGGAGAACGTGAGGTGAAATCACAAGTCACAATTATATAACGTCTTGCTCAACAACCATGGTGATTTGCTTAATGATGGAAGCGGAAGTGATGTCATAAGTCTGGTGCAGTCATGTAATTTTTTGCTTAGCGACCACACCACTTAGTGACATAATTGCCAGTCCCAATTGTGGTCGGTAAGCAAGGACTACCTGTACAGACTTATGTTCACTTTTCTAAGAACTAACATGGCACAAGAAAATGATGGCTCTACAAAGAAGCCCTAAGACTTCTTTAGAAGTTAGAGAAAAGGTATTGCAAATTATTATGTATAGCTAAACTACTTTAGGGCTCTTCCATATGGACTACTAATTATGGCCAGAAGATGCCTTGTATATGGTTTCAGAAATACATAAATGGAAGTCATCATTTTCAAGTTGCTACCAACTCATTGTGACGGCAGCAGGCACTCTCTTTTCTTGTTCCAGTTTTAAACTGGTGTCTTTCACCTTTTGCTGACATGAACCTTGGAGTTTGGAAAGTCTACTGCACCTCATATTGAAGTAAGGTTAGAGGCAGGGACCTGGTTCACTCGAACTGGCTTCTTAAGGTTAAAGACATGAGCCTCAGTTACTAATCGCTGATTTTCAGGGCCATTCACCTATTGACTGCAAAAGAATCAGGGCTCCCCTACTGTGCCAAACGGCCATCTCCCTGACTTCTTTTGCCAACCTGCCAAATCTGGCAGCAGATTCCAAGGCTGCCAGGAGTTAGAGGGACAGCCAGAGAAGTGTGCTGTGGAAGGAACTGCCTCTTTAGACCCCAGCTGTCAGCCCTCCCAGGTAAACCAGACAGGAAATGTGATTAGATGAGCTAATTGTACTTTATTGTAAGGCTATGTTAACAGAATCTTGCAAGTCTGAAAGTACAAATCTCCTGCCCTCCCTGTTTACCACCTGAGTAGTTAGGGTGGGTCCTTTCTAAGTTTCTTTTTCTGGCCTTTAATCTGTTGTGGACTCCTTTCTCTTTTATCTGATTGTTTCCTAGGCGGCATCTCTTTCCGCCTCCGCCCCCATCTTCCAAGGTCACCCTCACATTCCATCACACCAGTTCTTCTAGCTCATGAAGGTGTTCCATGGGATCACAGAACTGAAGTGTGGGGGGGCAGTGGCTCTTTAACTGCCACACCCCAGGATACATCTGCCTACCAAGCCCAGGTCTGCAGGGCTGGTAGCACACTTTTTGACAGATCTCCAAAAGTCTTGGACGTGTGTGAAATATGCCCCCTTATTTCAGTAGTTGCCACAATGCCTAACCTGCAGGGAGGTGCACAGTTTAACTGTGGATATGGCAATTAAAAAGATGCTTCTACTCCACTTCCCTTCCCCCATGGGGAAGGAAAGAGGGCAAGCAGCTCTTCAGGCATAGTAAACCATGGGGAAAGTGGGTCTTTCTGGCCCTGGGAGAACTCACCTACGAAGACCCACTTTTCTCCCCCCCCCACTTCTACCGCCATGGTTCCTTTGCTGCCAGTTCTCCAGCCCCACTCACTTCCTCCCTTCTCTCTCTGTGTTGCAGGAGAAGGTGGGGGAGAAGCAGGGGAGAACAGCTCTTTCCTGCCCACTCTCCCTGACAGTGAGAGCTCTGTGGGATCAGAGAGCTGACAGCAGGAAGCCCAGGGGTCTTCTGTTGCCAGAGACCAGCAGCATTTTACCCCATCCCCTCCTTCCCCCCACTTTTCTTGAGGACAAGACACCTATTTTGCATCGTTGATGAGGCAGAATAGGAGCTGAAAATGCAGGCAGCAGATTTTTACACTTAGTGTAAAAGCCCCAAGGAATCACAAAATGCAATGCTGCTGTGAATAAGAGTCCCTAGCCTAACTAACTATCAAAACACGTGGTTAAATCCCAACATTGCATTCTTTTTATTTCCTTCTCCCACAAAAATTTACTA